TAGCACCTTACACAGACGTGTATAGGGGACCATGCAAGAGATAACATCAGAAAGATGAATACGCAGATAAAAGTAACTTTATTGGTTAATGCATTGCTGATTCGAAAAGAGTGATGTATAATTCTTATCAATCCTTTATTAAGTATAACATAACTACTTCCTTTCTACACAGATGAGTTCTGTTTAGGTGTACGTGTTGCTTCAATCAGCCAAGTGATTTTTGCGATCATCTAACGTGCAAAAATGGAGAGCCGGAGTTTAGGTGGGTAATACTTTTTTTGTTCTGCGTCGCCAATGGTCAAAATGTTTCAGCTCATCAAATACTAGCTGCGTTTGCCATCACAACCCTGCCGACTATCCATATCACATATGCAAATCAATTTACACGCGAAATAGTCCAAACCAAATCGAATCCTCGCAGGCAATGCAGAATTCCGCTATGGATGAAACCAAACGGCAACAGGTTTGTTAAAGCACAAACAGGGTAAACATGAACGAAGAAAAAGGATAATAGAATAAAAAAAATATTTGATTTCTCGAGATTGCACTTTCCTTCTAGGCAACATTTTCGTTCCTTGGTCTCAATGTTCCGTCGTCAGTCGCCACGTACGCCATCATAGCTCTTCTTATCGGCGTGATTTTATTAACGGCGATAATTCTGGTGGTCGGAAATCGGAAAAGGCAAAAACGACGTGAGGATAATATGCGTCAAAGACAGAATGCTCACGAAGCTCTGTTGATGCAGCGAGCTGACGACGATCGATATCTACCCTCCGTGTGATGAGGGCAGCTTTTGGATCTCTTCCAGACGGTTAATTATCTGCAGAGCCATGCAAAACTATATTGAGGTGATGGATCTTAATCACAGCAAAAGACGAGAAACGGGAATGTTTTGAATAGTGGTCTGTAGAGCTCGTAAAGTCTTCTGCTTTTTCTCCATTATCGCCTAGAAAAACTCGTTCTTCGGAGAAACGAGACTAACAGCCCCATTTAAATTTCTGAGCTCTTTTCCGTGGAAACCATTTCCAGAACTAACATTATTACAGCAGAAAAAAGCCGTTGACTTTTTTTTGTGATGTTCTGCATAATAAGGAAGTCTGCAGAGCAGCAGGAGATCGGTTGCGCGCTTGCCTTTCCTAGCGACAACTCAGTTAGTAAAAACATTTCATCAATTGCAGAAATCCAGCGGCGACTTCCTCTTAGTTTAAAAAAACTTCTTATTCAATCCGAGATTAAAGCTGCGTCTGCTGTTTCTGCTCTATGAAATGACACATCAT